TCGGGAGAAGGAGCCGCAACTATCTCTTTCGCAGCATGTCCTGGAAGCATCGACTCTTTGGTCGCATTTGCCTGGCGGTCCAAGTCTTGCGAGATGATGCTTGGACACATGTGAGGAATGGCCCTGTGGAGCAACAGGTGTTGGAGACAGCGGTGGGTCAAGAAGAGGCTGTTCCGGTTTGTTTTGCATGCGTGCAGTGGCAAGCAGGCCATGAGCATGTGGGCATGTGCGATGACTTGTCCAAAACGAATGCAGGTGGCCGCAGAAGCACCTGAACTACAGCCTCCCAGAACGAGTCTGCAGAATGATGTGCCGGCAGCTGAAGCCACGAGCCTCGACTGCGCACTGTGCATCAGTTCCGCAGTGTGCGCACCTGCCGGCAAGTCAGGAACGTAGTGGAGAGCAAGAGCGGAACGGTGCCAGCTGATGCAGAAGAGCAGGCTGGTGGTTGGGAAAAGCCCGTCTAGTGATGCTGTTGGATGTTGGTTGTTGCGCACCTGATGTCAGGAGCTGAGAAGCCAGCCAGGAGGGACAAGTGCTGGCAAGGAGTCTCAAGAATCTGGAGCTGCGGAGAACTCTTTCATCCAGCCTGTCAGCGAGCAAGACCGACAGATCCAGGCAGCCCAGTTTGTTGTTGCATGTTTGTCGTGTTCAAGTCCCTGCTGGGACGAAGCTGAATCAAGTGCAGGCTGTGGAGCCATCAGCTGTTGAAGACGAGGCCACATCATTGTGTTTCTCCGTGCATGTGCCTATAATTAGGGGCCTATCGCAGCAGCAAGTGTCATGCGAGGCCAAAACGAGTCGGGAAAACATGCAGGCCACGGCTGTGCAGGCAGCTGGACTTCTCATGATGACCACTCCGTCGGAGGGTATGCACGAGCTCCAAAGCGGTGAGGAGGGGCCAGTGGCGGCGGAAGTGATCCTTGGTTGCAGCAAAGTGCGGTGCAAAGCGCAGTGCGCATGTACCACAACGACAGTGCAAGCTGAGGATTCGAGCCAACTCTGTGACGGCGGCGCCACTGGCTGATCCCGAAGAGCAGGCAAGTGGCCAGTGCAATTAGTTTTGGCGATTTAGCTTGGACTGCTCTCATTGTCCGGGCCAACTTAGGAGGTGCAGAGTCGGGAGAAGGAGCCGCA